GTTGAATGTGCCACTGCTTCAAAGTTTCAAAATAGAATAAAAACAAAAGTGTTTATTATTTTTGAATTAAAACACGTTAATATGTTAAAATGTATTGTATCCTAACTTATTGATTATTAAACCGGCATATCTTTAGTTAATAATGCAGCGATAAATTCTAAATTCTGTCGTTTAATTTAAGTTCAATTGACCTACTATATGTTTACGAGGACAATGTTGTTTATATGCCCCAAATGTCTGAACATAAGTTATTTTGTTTTAAAAAAAACTATTTACATATATGAATAGTCCGGAGAATTAAAAAAACTGTCATTTTATTTTTGTATAATCCTTTGATCTATTAAGTTCATTTCCATCTTTGTTGATTTTACACAACTTGTCCTCATATGTATTCAGTTGCTATTGGTAGTAGAATTCATATAGCACCAGGTAAATATTAGTGAACTTGACTTCAATTCACACTCTACTATTCTATTGTACTGTCCAAATTAAATGGAGCATCTTGATTTTGACATGTAATTTAGTGACTCAATGTTAGACACCTCAACCACTGATCTACGCCTCAATCCATATAAGCTATTCATGTTTCTGTCCCTCTTCAATTTTTTCTACTTTTTCTCGTCTACATTAACACTACTTGTTCCTTTACTTATTCTAATTTTCTCTTTTTGTATGATTGCAAATTCTGCGTCCCGTCTATCTATCTGTAAATTTTCTTAATGAAAACGAATCTAGTCATTAAATCTTATCTTTAGTGTATGTTTCCTCAATATCTCAGATACCTGTTATATACGAGTGTCGATTAGCACGTAACCTACTTCGAGTAGGATTTCCTGTCGATTGCCTCCAACTATCTGATATCTCAAAGAAGGCTCGGGGTGTGGCTCCTTAAGAAAACCAGCTGTTTCGGTCTGGGCATTCGGGCAGTATCACAGCCCTCACACAAATCAATGATAAATACCGCTGGCTTCATTGTTATTGTGTGGCGCATATGTATTTGGTGCCCTCTTTACCAATGTTTATGCGTCCAAATAAATAAATATAATGTAGTTTTTTTTACATTGTCTGTATAAAAAAAGTACATGTTTATTTTATCGTACGTTTTTGGCTTAGATTAACCGGCTTTATACATATTTATTTTCCATCCTACTTTCTCAGCTTATTATCATCAATTTATACTTTTTCAATTATTATGATGATTACACATGTAATTTTCTCTAACTAGTACGATTATTAGTCACAAATTTTCTTCCATTGAAATTTCGAATAAACTTTAGTTAGATAACCACTGAAAACCAGCAAGCACTGAACAGCTGTTTCGTCTTGCTATGGGACTCATCAGTCGTGTGCATGCACGACGCTGCCACCAGGGAATTAAACACAGGACATTCGGTATCACACGTGAACACTGAGCTGGCATCTCATAGTATACATATCTGACCTCATTGAGATATTACAAATATATTAATTTATTCATGTCTAACTTCAGTTCACAATATAACGCAACCCTCATTCCTTGCAGTTCATAACTGTTTCACACTCGACATAAATCAACTTTGCTAGTCATGGCTTCTCATATGATTATTATTATTAGTACTTAAGTTTTCTGGAGATAGTAGAATTTTCATAATTTAAATCGCAAATTGTTCGTAGACTGCGATTAGAAAATTGGAAATACTGGATTATGCGTTCGTGTTTTAAACTACGACTATTCTTTATGTTCAGTTTTTTTTAATAATATCGTTACTACAGTCAATTCAACTGCTATACTAGTCATCTTGTTACTTTTATCCTTTCGTGCTAATGTGTCTTGATAACATACATTTGTGCTAGGTTTCACATTAATTTCTACTAAGTTTAACCGTCAAATACTACTAATTAGGAATGGAAAAATATTTGAAATAGTTTTTAGAATTTAACCACGTGGGTTGATTTTCAATCGTATCTAACTTTCTACAGTGGTAAGTGCTAAAAAATGTAGATTTGAAAAATGTATGATACATTTTGACCAATAATTACCTTAATCAATTTTTACTTGTTTGTAGAAACATCCTTAAATAGTGAGATTAAGTAATTAATTGTTATTTGATACTTATTGTCATGTTTTCTATTATTTTATGGTATGGAAATGTTCTGAATCTCTCCACTAAATTATTATGAGCTAAGATCACATAAACACTGTCTTACAAAATGTTTTTAACGATCATCGTTTTTCTTATACTCTTCAAAATATTACATATTTATGACTGTGTCGTAGGATACAAACTTGTAGCCGACCACTAATGTATGCTCAAGTGCGTTTTCGCTTATTTATTAAACAAATGATATGCTTATGAATAAATTGTTATTTCTATCGCTTTGAAGCTGAAAAAGCATGGTCACTAAGTTAGACCAAATCTTGGTGATGAGCATTTAGATATAAGGGGACTGGCCGTTTTGTTTTTTCATTCACAAAACTTCCATTCATTTATACGACAGACTGACTGGGAGTCTATAGAAACATCTTTTTACATTCGGGTATACAAATCAAGTGGTTGTGTGGTGTGGGTTACTTATATCCATATAAGTAATCTATAACGGTGGTCAGGCATATAATGTATTTCAGCAGAAGATCGATAAGGAAACAACGAAAACGGAACGCAGTTGGTTAGAAAATGTATGGACAATGAAATCTGAGACAATGGACTGACATTTGCAAAGGATCAGTGAAGTTTGGGACGATGGATTGATATTTTGCAAATTAACTATTTACTTTATGGTTCTTAGATTTTAGTGAAATGCTCTGTAATTTCGTGTCAAATACATTCAGTTGTTCGCATTAGTGTTCTTGTTCAGTACAGTTGTACCTGAGTGGGATTTCGTTAATCCCTGAACTGAACCATGGCTTTAAGTTTTAATATATTTCATCTTTAGCACTTTGATTGTTGTTAGTACCGCATACAGTCTCTGACATAAAGTTATCAGTCACTAAGATGTTTACACGTTTCCAATCATTCTTTCTTTGTAACTGACTCAACAGAATCGAAGACAGGACTTAGCTGGTATTTTATCAAATTCATTCGTTTCCTTCCTCTTTGTCCTGTTTCAGGTGTATGATAAATGTTTTGACCTTTCACATGAGTGAAGCAGTGTTATGATTGTATTCAATATTTTTGAGTAACAAACAACTGATAGACCAATGTATATTTCCCAAACCCAAAATCATTTATCTTACATATCACCCACTTACTTATCCATCAATGCCAGTTTTTAGGAGTTTGGTTTAATCTGTAGGATAGTACTTGTTAAAGATTTATTTCATTTGAGTTACCATCGGAACTCTCACACTATCTCAGCTGATTGACATTAAAATTGTACCATAGAACTCCGACCCATTGGGATTCTAGTAGTTTATTGTTCTCTATCAGACCTGAAAGACTAATGTGGGTACTGCTGAGTTCCATACTATAAAACAATGACTGCCCAGTGTTCTCTGATTTTAAATAGTACTCCATATGATATAATTCTAAGACTATTATTATCCACACATGATTAATTTATTTTAACATTCGCTTTAATTTTCTCATTTTTAAGTAAATTTGCATTCATGCTTACTTGAACTGTTTTATGGATTTTGAAGCTTTAGTCATCTCATATCCCATCTGCTAACATTATCAGTCACTCTACGTTTATGATTACGAGTGTCAGTTTTAACTTACATCTGGTTTTTTATATCTACTTTTCTCTAAGAAAGTTGTCTTTACATTTAAGTTTTTCAGGTCTCTCAAGTGAAAAATATTATCTAATACGTTTTCACTACACTTTGCATACAGTCAGTCAGTAACAACGTAGATATTCGTACGTACGTACATCAGTTCGAGTTGCCACAACACATTAGCACAGAGATGCATTTGTCGATTCAAATCCCGTAGTGGTAGTGGTAGTAAGAGTATGAGCAGTAATCGGAAAGATTAGGCTTTGAACATGTTATTCAAGGAGTATAATCCAGTGAAATAAATTTGGAAAGAGGAAAAAAGAGACATGAAGAAGTCAGAAGATTAAAATTTTGGAGAACACAAAGAGTGGATGCACCTGCACCATTACAAACGATTTTGAGCCATGTCATTTAAGGTCTCTAACCATCAGTTGCTATCATCTCGCGGTCTCCAATCAGGTAGTCTACACCTACCAACATGTTTCAGTCCACTTGTCAGTGACTTCATGGACTTGTGCCACGTTTCGGTCTGGCCGCCCGTAGCTTTCTTCCAACCTACTCTTATACCACTGAACATCGCACGTCGAGTCAGTCGGTTGTTGGGCATATGTAACACGTGTCCCAGCCATCTCAACTGATGAAGTTTCACTACTTCATTACTTGATCTGTCATCATTACATAGTACCCGTTTCCTAGCAACTGCATTACTTACTCGATGGTCCCAGGATATACGAGCAATATTTCGAAGACACCTCTGATCAAATACTAGTGACCTACAAATATCCTCTACTCTTACCGGCCACGTTTCACTGCCATAGAGTAGGACGGAACGAACTGGTGTGCAGTAAACATGTCATTTGGTTGATAGATGGATATCTCGCCTACGCCATAAATGACGCAAGTTGGTAAAAGCTAGTCGAGCCTTCTGTGTCCGTGGTGAGATTTCGTCACACACCAGACCACAAGGGCTGATGAGACTTCCAAGATAAGTGAAGCGATTGGCACGCTCAACTACTTCACTCTCTATCATTAGTTCGGGTGTCGATGCAACCCAATCCTGAAGCAACATTTCGCATTTCGTGGGAGAGAATCGCATGCCCAACATGCTTGCATTGTTGCTTAGAGTGGTCGGAAAACTGCATTTTGTCAGCACTTTGTATACATATAAATACGTACGTACCTTATCCAAAATACATGTTTAACCAAGCACATAGTGGTTGGTATATTTTCCTTAAATAACTAAGTTTGTGTTTTTTTCCAATTCAGTCATGTTAAAAAGTATATTTCCGTTTTCATTTGATATTAGGTAGACAATTTGGGTGGTTACTCACCCCCTGGAGAATATGGTCGTTTTATACCCGCAGATATAAGTGAGCTACATAACATATCAACATCAGTATATAGTCGACACATGTCAAACGCACCAGGTAAGGGGTCGCCACCCCAACCTCCCCTACTACCACCACATTTGTTACAGGTAATTTTGAAATTTATTTTGTTTTTTCCGTTTATTTATCTAATTATTCATATAACCACTTTTAAACTTCAAGTCCCAATTATGTGTTATTAAATGAATTTCATATATTCCAACTTAATAATAATAAATATACTTTTTGTTATATCCCAATGAATAGAAAAATTGTATTTCTGACGTTTTGTGACTTAATTTAGGCCATTTCTTTAGAGTAAATAAAACAAAGAAGTGATTTACATTGACTCACGAAACGTCAGAAATACAATTTTTTCTATTCATTGGGATATAACAAGGAAGATATATTTATTATTAACCTTCTACACAATGCTCAATTTATTTAAAACTATCAAGTCCAACCTTTGCATTGATACCTATAAACTCATTTATAATAATAGTCTGATACAAGTTTAAAATTCCTTTTAGATATGTTTCATATATGTATATATAATTTTATACTTCATTTCGTCTATCTTTCATCATTGTCAAGATTAGAATTTATTGATGTACTAGTCAGATAAATGTTAACACTTCTTTGAATTCTTCACGAAATACACTCATCTATATAGAGCTAAAGAGCACTACAGCTTACATCAGTTCGTTACGTCAAATCATAACCCCAACCATATTTTCCATCCTATTTTAAACCTATTAAGTAATTTGCATGTCTTAAGGTCACTTCTAAATTATTCAGATGTTGTCCATAAATTTAAAGAACACTATGGTCTAGAAACAAAATTCTTTGCTGAAATAAATTATTCTTTGACTGTCTATAACAACCCATTATTACCGTTATTATTGTCCGCCAAGTAAATTGTTGAAAAATTGGTGTAATGACATCTGACAAACACATAAACCATATATATATATATATATATATATATATATATATATATATATATATATATATATATATATATATATATATATATATATGGTTTATGTGTTTGTCAGATGTTATTACACCAATATATATGATATCTACCGGAATTACATTTTTACTCCATACTATTTTCAGTGCTATGCATTTTCAGACGTTCCTAAGAATTTTAATTTTGCATTCTATGCGAAATTGTTCCTTTTTTATTATTAAACAATAATTGTGTCTGAACGTAAAACAACCATATAAATCATATCGTTTAGAGTGTATAATTCGTGTTCGATGAATTCTTTCCGTTCACCACTGACGAATCTGCTGCGCTCACAAAGGAAAGGGCTGAGTCATAGTGCGTGAGTAGAAGGTTTGACGATAGGAGCTGTTTGAGCTTTAAAAATGCTTCTTGGTATTCTGTTGACCAGATCCATTTGATATTATTTGTTAGTAAACAATTCAGCAGGACATACAGACGATGCAGATCTGGAAGAAAAACACCATAGTGGATAGCCATTCCCGAGAAGGAGCGTAAGGTTAATACATCTGTCGGTCGAGGTATGGTCTTGATAGCCTTGACGTTTTCCGAATAAGGTTTTCTTCCGTTTTTGATGACTATGAATCCCGAATAGCGCACTTGCTCCATGTTGTAGACAAATTTCTCAGCACGTGGTCTGAATCCATAAACTGCTACACGTCTGAGGATCATATCCATCTTCTTTATGTTAGCGTAATCCGTACCTATGATAAGTATATCATCCAGATAAGCCGCCGTACCACGAATATTTTGCAGCACAATGCCCATAACTTTTTGAAAGACTGATAGGGCTGTATTTAATCTAAAACGAAGTCTGTTATACCGGAACAATCCCTTATGAATGTTTATAGTCAGGCGATGATTACATTCTTCAGCTACTAGAGTCTATAAGTACTCTTCTGATAAGGCCAACTTTGTGAAATACTCCCCTCCATTCAATTTCGCGAATAAGTTTTCTGGTAAAGGCAAAGGGTACTGTTGGGCTTCAAGTGCTTCGTTTAGTCCTGTCGAATAATCTGCGCATTTCGTTTTGATGGTTTGGTCGGTTTCATATTCAAATCCTTGTTCAAGAAATACGAAGATATATTTAAGGTCGACCTAGAGAAATTTGATGATGCTGCGAACGTCAGAATACTACTTCGCAAACTTGGCACAGCTGAACATGAACGCTACACCAACTTCATTCTTCCAAAGGTTCCGAGAGAAATTTCCTTTGGTGCAACGGTCGAATTTTCATCTCAAATCTTTGGCGAGAAGTCATCTTTTTTCAGTATTCGGTAATAATGTCTCAAGTTAGCAAAAGCCGGCGACAAACAACGTCTAACTTTCGTATAAAAGAATCTTTTGCCCATTTATTGCTCGTACGTATGGCGTCCAACCATTAAAGTGTCATGTTTCAAGTTTACCAACCTCTAGCATTCACTGGTCACTTCTTGCAGCGTTATATTTGGACATTATCTAATGTTACTCAGAATTCTGGTTCTTATAATATCGGAATCTTAAGGTGAATAAAAGCCGTATACAAAACAAGACACTTAAACCGGTCCTCTGTCATTGCAGACAATTTAAAATGCTTTCACACACGATTTACTATGCCAGGATATTGCACCCAGTCACCTTTGTTTACTAACGAAGAATATGAAATGGATCTGGTCAACAGAATACCAAGAAGCATTCTTAAAGCTCGGATAGCTCCTATCGTCAAACCTTCTACTTACTCACTATGACCCAACTCTTGTCGTTGTGGGCGCAGCAGATACGTCAAGTTATGAAATCGTAGCAGTGATTTCACATGTCTACCCTGGTGGATCTGAGAATATGTTTGCGTACGCTGCGCGATCGCTGACAACGACAGAAGGGAACTATGGTCAGAGGAGGAAGCCCTCTCCTTTATCCTCGCTGTGAAAAAGTTTGTCTAGATGGTATTCCGTAAACAGTTTACGTTACTAAAAGACCAGAAACCGCTATTGACAGTTTTTATATCCCAAACAGTATCTCTGTATATGCAGCAAATCGTCTACAACGATCTCCAACTACACTGCTATGCTACGACTTCAAGATAAAGTACCAACCGAAAACGGATTTCGGACAGGCAGATGCCCTCTGAAGATTAATCGGCTCCCATACAAAACTAGAAGAGGTACTTGTAGCTACCGTCAAAGCTGAGTTCGAAGTTCGCATATTGTTGACAGACGCTGTTTCGGGTCTATCGGTCACATTCGAAGCTGTTAAAAAAGCTAATGAAAAAAATAATACGTTGAAGATCGTTCGCCGTTGTATACTCAACAAGTGGCCTTCATCTCAACTTCATGATGAGCTTTTACAATACTTTCGTTTGAAAGACTCCTTGACAATTGTCGATTCGTGAGTTATTTTTGGCCACCTGATTAATATTACGGAGTTTTTCGGCATCGAATCCCAAAACAGTTCCATGGCGGGCACCCGGGATTAAGTAAAATGAAGTCACCGGCTCGGAGTTACTTATATTGGCCGCCAATGGACCGTGATATATAACAGAAGTGTCTTAGCTCTTGATCCTGTCTAGAAGCTGCAAAGATTTATATTAAAGCACAGCCTCAGCCATCGCCAAAACTGGACGGGCCTCAGGAAAGAATACATGCTGATTTCGCCGGTCAAATGCAAAGCAGAAACCACTTGGCGATGGTGAGTAATTTCACAAATCGGCCGGAGGTATACGGTATACCGAATACGTTAGAGAATACAATAAGAAAATTATCAAGATTGTTTGCTTGTTTTGGGGTTCTGGAGATTTTAGTAACTGACAATGACACTCAGTTCATTTTGTCCGCTTAAAATAGGTTCTGCCGTGAAAATGGCAGTACACATCTACGATCTCCTCCGTAGCATCCCCAATTCAATGGCCAGGTAGAAAGATTCGTGGATACGATAAAAAATCCTCTGATTAAAAGAGAAGGAGAGGATATTCCACCACAAGTGGTCACTAACTTCCTAATGTCCTACAAAGTTACACCTAATCCGGCAATGTAAGAAAGAAAGTCCCCAGTTGAGTGTATGTTTGGAAGGGAAGTTCAGACAGTCTTTAAAAGTATATTGCCACCCGGGTAGATAAATAAACATATAAATGAGTGTTGGATGGTCACTCGCAACTTCCAGGTGGGTGAAAGGGTTCTTATCAAGTCGTATCAAGGTAATAAAAAACGGGAACCAGATATTATTAAACGTTGGATTGGAAAAGTACTATACTTAGTTCGGAGAAGTGTCGAGACTTGTATAAGACATGTAAATCAAATTCGAAGGGATGGTCGAACAACGATTACACTAAGCCGGCTCCCGCTTCAAATATTCGTGGATTCATTTCAAAAAAGTCCTGAGGAGAACGAAAGCAGGAGATATAAAAAACGAAAGGGCAAAACAGTACAACCTTCAGGAGTGATGAACCGTATGAGGAATGCGGTAACCAATTTTCAAGTGGGCCCAAACAGAATGTCTTACACAAGAGACTTTAAAGATGGGAGGTATGGGGACTGCTCTCGGTTAACTCAAGGAAGCTCTGAAAGAGCTGATGACATTCCATCCAAATGTGGTTTGAAAGAAAACTTCAGAATCTCTACGTGTAGCTTCCCGATTGTTCCAATTTTCCTCTACCCTTTGTATAATTGTCTGAAATAATTTAGTTTTATTGAATTAATGTTCCCCGTTAATTTGTATTCCACTAACAATAAAACAAATTTTACTCTACTAATGTAGTGTAACTGCTTTCTTCGCTCTGATAATACACCAATTTGAATAAATATTCTAGTCTAAAACAGTAAATATTGAAATAGTCTCTTGACTTTCCCTATACTAATCTATTGATTAACCTATACCATGTGTACATAATATTCAGTTGATGAATCACGAATAAATTTGTATTTTTCTTACCATTCTGAAAATCATTCACGTCATTTTACAAAATTATAGTAAAACAGTCTGCAATTATCATCGTGAGCCTAATGTCGTGTATAGTGATTAAGATAATCAACTTTCAATTAGTAGGTCATAGATTTCGAATTCTGTCTAATCTACTAATAATACTATGGTTTTAGCATTCGAGTACTATTAAGAAATAACCATCACATAAACACATGATAACTCCAAGTCAAGTACACATGTTGGATGATAAATATCGAATTGATCAATAATATGTATTTACATGCAATTTAATTTTAATAATTAATAGCACATATAAGGCTGTTTAATGCAGTAAGCCATCAATAAACTCGTAGTAATAGTATTAAGAAATCGAAGAAAGAAAATAACCTTTAGAAAGTAACGGAAACTACATAATAAACTACTTTCATGTATATATAAACAAAATAGATTTCATCTAGTCAATAAATTTGTCTTACTCCTAATGAGGACATATGACATAAAATTATATCGGGATTCCTATTGTTTCTTGTAAGTTTATATTTAACTAAGTCAAGCAAACTAGTTTCGCGAGCGATCATATTGATAAACCTGGACAAATAAACTCGTTGTTTTCATTAGTTCACTCATCAAACCGAAAGTTTGGAATGTTGGAAATGCCATTAACTTAATTCGTCAGTTTTTCTTTTGTTATTGTTGGAGTTTTAGTCTATTGGTCAGGCTGTGATTGTTTGTTAATGTGATATTCCACTGCCTATATGTTAACCTGCCATATTGGTGTACTCAGGAGGTTGGAAGGTAACGTCGAAACGAAGACATGGCATTAGAACAGATTCAATGAACTTCAAACTTATCATCGGTGAATTGAGCTTTAAGGGATAATTGCAAATTGTAGTTAAAAAACTTAGTTGGCATTAAGCATCACCGATCGGAATGACCTCTTTGTATTGACTCGCTAACTTTCCCTATATCTGAAGTACATAATAGCTTTTCAACGCAATTAACATTGCTCATGCTCTCTCTCTATCCTGATAAGCGTGGTATTATCTATTTATTTATTTCAACACATAGATAATGGTACAAAGAGGCACCAAATACATATGCGCCACACAAATCTCATTCGATATGTGTGAGGGCTGTGATACTGCCCGGGTGCCCAAACCGAAGCAGGTGGTTTTCTTAGGGGGCCACACCCCGAGCCTTCGACCTGAAGGTCTGATCCACAAGGCAGTGGAGCATCGTAAGGAGATGCAGTCCCATGGAAGCCGGTGACCAACAACTGGTTCATTCGCCATTTGTTCCCGCAGGATACTGGAGCCCATGTGCACCATGATAAGCGTGGTAACTCGAATGAATCCTCGCTCGCAATTCTGTTGAATATCCCAATTAACTGCAGTGATGAAATGCTGGTTTGTAAAACGTGTATTAGATCTCGAGGCAGTTATATTGACATTGTTCACTTGGAATCAAAAAAAAATTGACACATACCTAGTGATCTTGTTTTTTAAGAATGCCATAAAATGTATTCAGAATTTACTCACCATTCTCAATTGATTGATCACTGTGTGGTGATCAATGTCATGCTTGTCTAGTCCTTATTAGTGCAGATCGAATGCTATCGATCGTGTTGCAATGTGGCCACCAGTCTAGGTGACTCGACACTGCGGGCACTATGTATTGAGATTTAGATGGTGGTTGGAGGTAGTCAACAGGAAACCCTGGACAGGTACACCTTGCTGACGAGCGCCAAATAGCACGAAACCCGGGTCCAGGGTTTCCTGTTGACTACCTCCAACCACCATCTAAATCTCAATACATAGTGCCCGCAGTGTCGAGTCACCTAGACTGATGGCCACATTGCAACACGATCGATAGCATTCGATCTGCACTAATAAGGACTAGACAAGCATGACATTGATCACCACCCATTGATCAATCAATTGTGATAACATCTCAGTCCTACATGAGGTCAGTCGAGGCTCGGGTAATTCAGTGGTAACGTCTCTGACCGCGAAGCTGGGTGACACGAGATCGAATCCGCCAGGGAGCACCAGTTCCCTCAAGATTACAGGTACACCTTGCTGACGAGTGCCAAATAGCACGAAACCCGGGTCCATGGTTTCCTGTTGACTACCTCCAACCACCATTCTATAAATTCATGGATTACGACGCTTACACAAGCCCTTATGAAAGTGAAATGGATATACTTAAAGTATTACTGCATAATAACAAAGGCCCTTCATAATGGTAATGTTGAAATTACGATCAAAGAAAAGCAGCTAACCTACTGTCCACTCCTAACTGACAGCGTTGTCTGATATAGGCTGTTTTACGTTATTGCAAAACATGGCAATCCCATGCACTCATCACTGTAAATTTGCGCTAAATATGCAAATGTGACGTAATTTTTACTGAACTGTATCATGAATTACCTTCAGTGGTTTATATACAAAGTTTAGAATACAACCACCGACAAGTCTCAGTTGACGGTAATATTTGGAAATCCACCATCTCATAGCTTGTGACAGAATATTTCAATATGTCAATAAGAATTCCTTGTCTACATTACTGCTTGTTTTTTTATGGAAAATTAATTTCAGGGTATTTTAAATATGGATACAAACGCTCACTGTGATCCTAATCTGCTACCGCAACCAAATCATGTAATTGTCAACCACCTATATGCCCTCTCAATAAAGGTGAGTAGTTCCGTTTACCCAGTGTACGGAGGACGCATTTCTGTACATATTAGCTTGCTTATTTTTTTACCGAGTGGGTATGCATTTCCATGATTACGCGCACCCGACTGTTAAACAATTTCAGTAGTTGTGCATGTTTGCAATCTGCTTCGTTTATTTTACAATTTGAATGGAAAGCCTTTAATACAAACGGATAGGGCACTTTATGAGTATACTGCTAGAATTATGGTCCGGGTAACTTCGATTTGCAGGAGACAACTCATTATGAGTTGCCAGAGTTTAACTGACAATCTAGGAAAATACAGTATCCTAATAGCAATCGCATACAATATTCGTACTTTGTTGAGATTTTCTATACAGCAACAGAAACTATACTTCTTAATCTACACAATTGAGGTGTTTAACGTTCCCCTCCTTAACAAGTTTAAGAATGGATGCTTGGATGAGACGTTTATTATTACTTTTATTTTTCCTCAGGACGGCGTAATTGTGCTGAGTGTAATCACACGCTTCAGGCAAAAATTCGTGTCAACTCTTTTCTATAAACCGATTGAAGGATGACCAATATATACATATACATATTCCACTTGACTTCTTCTTGGTTACAAATGGTTTATGAATCCACAGTTGCGATTCACCTCTGAGTTACGAATATACGCTCAAAATGTTTTTTAGCCCTTTATAGATTTTTAAAAAACTATATTGTTCTTTTGTAATTCTTTATGGGGATAAGCAATTAGATTAAAAAAACATCGACTTATTATTAGAACAAAACATTGGGAATAAAAAAACGGTTAAATAGAAAACTGTACACCTAGTAGATTGTAATAACAGAACTTGGATATATGAATGCTGCCAATTTGAAGAATTCTAAAAGTTTACATTAAAACAAAGAGCATAAATCTATAAACATTAAAATTTATAAGAATTGACCAATGAGCGAAAAGTATATAAAACACATTGACATAAATGCAATAAATATTATGAGATAAGTAGTAATTAAAAAATTTTAGGTATGAATCGGTACGGCACCAAGGCTGTGTACTTTTGCCATGCTGGACCATGTTTTCTTAAACAAGCATCCTCCACAACTACAGAACGATGAATAACGTTGAGAATTGTGATAGCGGAAATTCCCCATAGTAGTGGAGAGTCGAAACCTATAAAGAAAGTAAAGTGGAAAGTTAGCGTCGATTGCCAGTGATCAACACAACAGTTCATAGTAATGCGATCAGTAGGAGTGCCGATTCAAACACAGGCTTGTTTCGGCAATTACCCAGGTGACTGGGAAACTCATAAGTTTCTGTGATTTAGTTGCCCAATCTTAAAAAAATTATGCATTATCTCTACATAATGTGTTGAGTACAGATTCAGTGTTAAGGATGAATTTCGAAAAACACTAGTGACACAAACAACATTGGTCTCCTATACACATAGAAATTAATAAAGCTCACCGCATGGAACCTGCATTGCCACGGCCATAATAATGTAACCCACATAATTTGGGTGACGAACATAACCCCAAAGACCAGAAACTAGTAATCGTTGAGTACCTGGTCCAACAACTATTTCAGCATCTAAAAACGGGAACAGATAAACGGATAAATTGATTATATTAAATATACAAACGAAACTGTACGCGTACTATTTTTACTGAATAAATCGCAAACTAACAGTTAGCTCAGTTGTAAAAGAATTGTTAAAGATTGCTAATGTAACTCGGGGTTTAAACAGGATTAGTGCTATTACCCGAGATTTGGTTGGTTGAAGATACATTTGGCCTAGCTCACTGCATCAATAAACCTACACTCTCTAGTTAGTGAGTTTCTATTTCACATAAATTCTATAGGCAATAAAAATTACGGAATATCATTGGGTGTTGAACAAGTCTTTACTTTATAATTCTTCGGTCGTTCAATGAATTTATAATCAGGATGGACGTCTGTGTATATACTTGAAGCTGAGTTTCGCAAAAAAATGTTAATAAAAAAGCAACCGATAACGTAGTGAGGACTTTAGTACTAAACTATGAATTATGAATACAATACAAATTGTGAAACACTAAAACATATGCGATTAAAAAACCAATGCGAATTTTATGTTCTGTATGAAACTCAATAAATAAATTGCTTTAGGACAAGCGACAAACCAACTCTGATGTTGACTGTTACCATACCATTAACATGTGATCATAACTGGTGACGTGTGACTAGAAAATGAGATTTCCTAAATAATATACGCTGAAAATAATAAAGCATTAAAGTAGAAGGAACATAATATACCTACAAATTAAGTCGCTTCATCCTCAGTATTAAATAGATGACAGCTATTACACACTAACTGCGTACATGTTAGTTGTTCTTTATGGGTGCAACGATCAAGATAAAAATAGTGCGTTGGATAAACTAGCTACTATAGACGTTTCAAGGTATCTAGTTATTCTCAATTTAAGAAATATCAAAACTATACAAAGAGCGGAATTAACGTCAACAAGAAATATACGTCAACTCACTAGCAAACGATGGATCGTGAGGATCACGTCTGAATCTATCTTTCTGATTGTTTGATCTACGATGAATCCATAATCCCAGTAAAAATAAAACAATAGCAATTCCCATAATCCAAGCATTACAACTATGTTTTGAAGAACTAGTTAGCTGTCTGCCAACATCAGGTCTTGAAGACAAGTATGAACTTGTTATGGAATATACGAAAGGTAAAGCGACCAGTCGACTGATAATAAAGCAAGAACCAAATGTTACGGATTGCGCTTCGTAAGTAAAGGAGAAGGTATGCTGAAATAAATATATAGAACATGGTATATGCAGTAGAACATCGCAATGTATTATGATATAAATTTCAGAAATTTCATGCAATTGGTTCCCTTTATGAATTTGAATAGAGCAAGAACAAACATTGATGCAGAATAGTATGAATTCATATTATTTCGAGGTTTCTCGTCAGCTGCTTACAAACCAAAATTGTGATAGAATTTTTACATGGAGATAGTGTGAAAACAATTGACATAAATGAGTGTAAATAACTGGATTACAATAATAGCTATATATATATATATATATATATATATATATATATATATATATATATATATATATAGAAACAAGTCAGAGGTCAAAAAGGGGGGGTTAATCCAGGGTGGGTGGTGTAATAATTTAGTGAAGTTCATAAATTGTATGATAATTGTAGAGATAAATGGAATTAAATAATGATAAGGTAGATTACGTAATAATAATTAAATAGAATTTGGAAAGTTAAGATAATTTATGAGGATCAGGTGGTGGAAATGTGTGAATAAAAATAAAACATACTGCTCACTGAAGCAAACGAAGATCGACAAGTCCTCTCCCCTCAGTTGCTCCAACTGCATTTACCAATTCACATGTACGTGCCGTAGCACATACATCGGAAGAACTGAGAGAAGAGTGTAGGTTCGCATTTCTGAGCATATCCCTAAGAACTTGACGCTGCGAGGGACCAAAGCTTTTAACAGTGCAATAGCTCGGCATCTACTTGACACCGGGCATACCGTCGATATTCTGCACGCGTTTAAAATTATCAATAGACAAAAAAGTATTACCACTCTCCGCTTTGCTGAAGCGATTGCAATTAAGAAACAAACCGGATTTATGCATTCAAAAAGAGACTTTAATAAACTTATCACTACCCTGGTAATCTTTTTGTTTCTGTTTGTTTTGTGTTTTGGTTATTTTTTCATTTACTTATTCTAAGATATTTTATACTCCCCCCTATTACCTAATTTTTAAAATAAATTTTATTCACACATTTCCACCACCTGATCCTCATAAATTATCTTAACTTTCCAAATTCTATTTAATTATTATTACGTAATCTACCTTATCATTATTTAATTCCATTTATCTCTACAATTATCATACAATTTATGAACTTCACTAAATTATTACACCACCCACCCTGGATTAACCCCCCTTTTTGACCTCTGACTTGTTTCTATATATATATATATATATATATATATATATATATATATATATATATATAGTTATTATTGTAATCCAGTTATTTACACTCATTTATGTCAATTGTTTTCACACTATCTCCATGTAAAAATTCTATCACAATTTTGGTTTGTAAGCAGCTGACGAGAAACCTCGAAATAATATGAATTCATACTATTCTGCATCAATGTTTGTTCTTGCTCTATTCAAATATAAATTTCAATTTATAATGTTTGCTATTCTCCGAAAAACAATTTTCTAATTAACTTTGGCTATTTACAGTATACAACAAAGATTCAAGTACGCATGAAAATACACTACACTACGTACCTCGAAAATGAAGAAGTCAAGCACCCATAAAGCGTGCATAAGAGCATGCGCAGCAAGAGCCGGGCTAATGCGTTCATATTGCTCATACTGTCTGAATATATACGTTAAGTCTATTAAGGGCAATGCCATCAATCCCGACCGTGTTATAATCATTTTCCAATCAATACCAAACCACTGGGGTCGCACGTGACGACCACACCAAAAATCAAGGAAAGTACTACCTATAAATTGTGAAAAAAGCATGCATTAAATAATTGTATAATTAATTGATAAATGATAAGTACTGCCAGCACTGATAGTGAGCCCATTGAAGATATAAAGTTTTACGAATGTTTTTTGGAGTGATCGGTTCCACTCTTTACAATAAAAACCTAAGGGCAGGCTAACAGTCACTTTCCAACAAAACGTATATATACTTTAGTGTGAAATAAACATGAGTACTGCGCAGTTAAATAAATAAACTAAAAAGAGCAAATACAAAATAAGTTTTTTTCGAGACTAAAAAATGTATGAATATGAAACCGACTAAAATCAGGAAAATATAACACATGCGTTCCCCACAACACTGATTAAAATTAGATAGAAATCATATAAGCTAACTGGTTAAAAACAGAGTCAATCACTTTCACTAACTTGTTTTGGCCGCTGATTGTCTTGTATAACGTACAACTGTCTTAGAGGCGAAATACGCAACAAACGACAAAAAAAGAGACGCCAAACAAGATGAAGTCAGTAAACTGAGCCACAGGTTCGGGAGCATTTCACTTGGTTTTAAGTTTCTGATTGTAGTACACTCGGAAATTTCAGCGAAAGCAAACAACCCAATGAAGATGATAAAAGATATCAAACCTACAAGGATAAATGCATACAATATTAAAATAACAATAACAAATTTTTTTAGATTAATGGATGAGAAGTGTTTGTTTTATTGTTTCATAAGATTTTGAAGAAACTTCATTTAAAATGTCACCACTAAAAGCACATGTTCACTTTTATGAATGGTGAGATAGAAACATAGTAATAAACAATCCTCTAGTTAGGTTCGCTAGATTGTTTTTTTCTGAAGGTACTAACTACTCAAATTATCTGAAAAGAAACGGTGGATTTACCGATTAAGTTGATCAACAATATATTTTTGTGAATAGAATTACATTTTGAACAAGTGATTTGAAAAACACAGTACTAGTGCGTTGCTTATTTACAAAATTACTGGCATATAGCAACACGTAGTACTTAATTTCTGTGTTATTCAGATATTCGTTCTAAATTAATACTTAATTTGGTTATGACAGGGAGCAGTTATGTTTTTTAATCAACTGTACTTGATGTAGACTTCGTTTCAACAGTAAGAAAACTTACTATTACAGCGATAGTCGATATTTCGAATCCCCGTTGTAACAATTCGACCAATAGGG